GTGCACAGAGTTGCTGAATGAACTTGTTTCTATCTAAGCTGTTTTGTGGTTTTCCTGAAACATGATGGAGCTAGAGTTGTGCTATGTCCAATATGCTTGAGCTGTGTAAAAAAGAGGCTTTTTTTTTCCCCCTTGCACATATATTTGCCATGAAAAATTAGTGACTTGTTTTCCAGAAGCTGATGATTGGCCTGGGTTATTAGTGGTACAGGATATGTAAAATCTGTCAGAACCTCTTTTTTTCCTCCTCCTTTTTTATTGTAATTTTTGCAAATAGTTATTACTGCTCAGTGGTACTATGAGTCCAGTAAAGATCTTATTTGTGTTCTGTTTCATTTACTAAGTGTTGCAATACAGTACATTATTAATGAGCAATATCAATAAATAAATAAAATAGCAATGTCACCTTACATAATACTTGAATACATAATGCTGTATTATTAGAAACCACTGCAGTGTCAGTGATAAAACTTTTTTCTTTGAGTGAGTTTTACTGGATAGCAAGTGATATCCAGTATAATTTCAGTGTATAATTCTGTAATTCTTACCATATTAAGTCCAGATCAATTTGGTTTATTCTGTGTTCTGTTGAGAATATATTTGTGCCCAATGGCTAAGCTTTAATTTGTGGATCTCTTTTGTAGAGGCATTTTTACTGTACCTTTTCCTGTTACTGTATATTTTCAGCTCCTCATGACTATTGCTCGTGCCCATTCCTCCATTCTTTCTTCCTTTGTTCACTTAGTTTTCTGATCTTTCTTACTTAGAGCCAAGCTTGTGAGGTGTGCATGCGTTCCAGACCTTCCCACCCACCAGGTCACTTCCAGCTGAACATGAGCCAGCTGTGCCCAGGTGGCCAAGAAGACCAATGGCACCCTGGCCTGTGTCAGGAGTAGTGTGGCCTGCAGGACCAGGGCAGTGATTGTCCCCCTGTACTTGGCCCTGGTGAGGCTGCACCTCAAATCCTGTGTTCAGTTCTGGAACCCTCACAACAAGAAGGAAATGGAGGTGTTGGGAGCATGTCTAGAGAAGGGCAACGGAGCTGGGCAAGGGTCTGGAGCACAGATTGTTTGGAGAATGGCTACAGGAGTTGCTGGGAGAAGAGGAGGCTGAGGGATGCCTTATTGCCCTCTACAACTACCTGAAAGGAGGCTGTAGCCAGGTGAGAGTTGGTTTCTTCTCCCACGTAACAAGTGATGGGACAAGGGGAAATGGCCTCAGATTGTGCCAGGGGAAGCTGAGATTGGAGATTAGGAAAAATTCCTTGACTGAAAGGGCTGCTGAGCATTGGAACAGGCTGCCCAGGGAAATGGTATAATCCCTGGAGGTATTGAAATGATCTGTATGTGTGGTACTGAGGGACAAGGTTTAGTGATGGACTTGGCAGTGCAGGGTAATGGTTGGACTTGATGGTCCTGGTGGTCTTCTCCAACACATGTTTCTATGACTCTGTGATGTAGCTTGGGGTTCCACAAATCAGCTGGCACTGCAGGTGCACAGCCAGACAGGAATTCCTCTGCTGGGACTTCACGTGCCTCACTGTTAGCTCTTGCTATTAGTGGCTCAGTATAGTCAACCAAGCTTTATGTTATGTAACAGTATAAAAGTATATGCCCAATTCTTTTATTATACCTCCCTGTTGTATTTTTAAATGTTTTATAAGGTTTTAAAGCTGCAGGGTATTGTACCTCATGGAACAAAGACTTTGACTTACGCAAATCTGTATATACATTGTGACCTGAATATCCAAAAGAGACACCTCCATAAAAAGATCATCAGTCAAGACAAAAAACAGGGCAGACTGTATCTCTGACTATAAACAAACAAACAAATCTAGTGAAATTGCAACCAAAATGCAGGTGTGTTTACTGCTGATATTAAATAGCTATCTGTGATTTCACTTTGTTTTCATTAGTAAATAGAAACATGTTTACAACTTTGATTCCCCTAACTTAGTATTTTTTGCTCAAGTATTCTATTCCTGAATTTCTAACTAAGAGAATATAAAATTTTGTAAAAAGAATCTTTCTAACTAAGAGAATATAAAATTTTGTAAAAAGAATCAAAAAAAAGCACACTAGATAGATTTTATAGGATTATAGGAAGCTGAAACCATTGTTGTATGTGAAACTGGCTTAACACCTAAGGACCTAAAAATGTCGGTCTTTGGAAGAGTTAAGGCCGGCTGTGTGGACAGAAATTTTGGAGGGCGAGCAGCTTTATGGAGGGTGTTTTGTGTTTTAAATATGCTATTTGAAAGCCTCCAGAAACGTAGAACAGCACAGACTGATTCAATGTGCACTGTGAAGGTCTCAGCTGTTGGAAACAGGTCATGCAGAGCAAACTACGGGCAGTATCTATCTAACCTAATAGCTCCTGGAAAGGAAATTGGAGCTGCTGTTTGCTGTAATGCTTTCCTGTGCCTGGAAGGTAAAGAAGGGACTTCTATATGAATGTCAGATGTGCCCATTCATGGGTTATTGGAAGTAGCAGAGCAGGTCAGTTTGCCAAGGCTGGGTGTTCATGGAAGGAACAGTTCCATGCTTAGATGCATCTTTAGCTGACTTTGAAAAGCAATTACCATATTTAGCAGTATCCCTCAGACAAGGTCGTGGGGTAAAACAAGAGTGTAGATAAGAATGATGACTTAATTCAAAGTTTTTAATGTATGGGTTTTTGTTTGGAGTTTTTTTTTTTTTTGATGGTGGCACTTACCCAAGAGAATAGAGATTTTTAAAACCTCAAAACTCCAGGTAATGACAAAAATAACTTCCTTACATGTGCTGTAACTTCTTCAGTTATGAAAATAGCTTTCAAGTTCCAGATTCTTTGTTCCTTTTTATTCTGAATTACATTTTGTATTTTCCTTAACTTTGCTAATAAAGAGTGCATACTGGATCTATATGATAGCACGTTTCCAGTGTGGGAAAAGAACTCTTCCTTTTATTTTCTGTGCAGTTTCATACAATGATGGGTGCCTCTGTTTTGTTTGGAGAAGATACTTATGGCACTTAAACTTTTAATTTATTTTAATATATGCATATTTCTACATCTTCTAGATATGGTGGATTTTTTTCCTCTTTGTTGTAATTGTGGTATGCCTTTTCTTGTAATGCATTTCATATTGCTTCCTTCACTCCTTGAATCATGTATTTCTTTCTCTCACTATGCTGTATTTTCTACTTCTCATTTCCACACACTGCTCTGCTTTGCAGCTTTGGTGCATACACTTCTGTTGTCTTTAGCTGTTTATTTTTGCCTCTTTCAGATGCACTTTCACTCCTGAGCATCTGCATGGTGGTCTCAGAGATTGCCTCTAAAGTTCAATGTCTGCAAGAAGATAAAAACTTGGCTTTAAGCAAGAAGCCAACTCCATTCTTCCTGAAGTCCAAGAATAATAAACATGATGCCTTGCTTTGCATCCTCTTCCCTTCTGCCATCAGTCATTGCTGGTCTTTGCTGGTCCCTCTCTCCTGGTCTCTGTGCATCCTTTGACATGTAGGAGGTACTGTACCCTGGTTGTTACTTTATGTGTGTAACACAGCTTCATATGTGTAAGAAGTGATGTAATTTGGTCAGACTTGGCAGAGCTGTAAAAGGTACAGAGGATGCCCTCTCTTGTGTTACCACCTCTTCTTTTTCACCATCTTCTTAGCTTGCTCTGACACCTGGAAACTCTGACCATTGCTGCTGCCACCTCTTTGAGATTTTGGGCTGATTTGTTCTGGAATAGAGTAGGCATGGCAAGAGGTGAGCAATTTCTCTTCTCTGTTTCTCTTGCTGCTGACAGCAATATAAAGCACCAATGCTGTGGAACCAAGCAAAGTTGTTACTCAAAATGGCCAAAAAGAGGAGTGTTTCCTTTTCTTGTCTACATTTCTATCTGAAAAACATAGTTGCAAGGGAAGTTTAATACGAGAGTAATTATTTTTTTTCTCCTAATATTTTTTGGACTTTGAGCTTTTTGTACCACTTTAATGAACCATACAATAGGCCCTGTATTTTATAATTGCTTGTTGTGCTCACTTTAGGTAGTTATAAGCAATACCCCTTAAATTTTATGCATAAAATAAAGCATGGGCATCAACATGCTTCAGAATGAATTGGAATTTAATCTAGACTTAGTTACGATACACAACGACCTCAAAGCAGAATTACTGAAGGTCATGCTGAGTTCCCTATCACACGTGCAAAAAATTTCCATTGTATTTTAAAATTTGTTTTTAGAGCTGTGTTGTGTGTATGCTGTCAGGATCACCCCCCTGCTTTACAAGGGTGACTGAGATCCACGTCCTCCCTCAGTGTTTCTTCAAGTCGACCCCGTGCATGAAGGTCAAACAGGACAGCATTTTCTCCTTCATCCGTACAGGTCCGTGCTCCTTTCGCCGTCTCGGCCTGTCAGCAGGCTCCCATCACGACAGGACGAACTCTCACACTTGCCGGAGCCGCTCTTGTTTTGAATGGAAGCCCAAGGACACCTGCAGCCCAGGTGCAGCCGGGGGAGGTCTGGCGCAGGTAGGCGGGCCGGAGGCTGGCCCGGCGGGAGGAGCGGCTCCGCGGCTCTGCCGTGGCCACCCACACCTCGCCCCCATCCCGGGCCTCCGGCCGCGTCCCCTCCGGCCGCCCGGACTCTCTCCGCTGCCACCAACTTCAGCGCGGCACAGGCGCTGGAGTCCGCATGGCTCCATAAACACGGGCGGGCTCAAAGGGGCGGGGGGGCCGGGCTGGGCGCCGCCGCAGTAGGACGCGCTGGCGGCATTGGACCGCCCTTCTTCCCTCCTCCTCTCCCTCCCTCCCTCCCGCCGCCGGCAGGGGAGGCCGGGCCGGCCGGGCCCACGTGCGCGGCGCCCGGGAGCCGGCGGAGCGGCGCTGCCATGTGTTTCCGCGGGCGAGCCGCCGGCCGGGGCACCGCCTGAGCGCCCCCCGCCCGCGATGCTGCGGGGCGCCGCGGGGCTCTGCGCGACGCGGCCGCCCCCCGACCCCTCGCCGCCTCCTCCTCCATGAGCGCCTCGGCGGCCCCCGTCAGGCTCATGCCCGGCGGGCACCCGGAGCAGGCGGCCGCCTGCGCCCCAGCCGCGGGCTCGGCGCCCGAGCGAGGCAGCCCCGCCGCCGCTGTGCCCGCCGGCCCCGCCGCCGCCCCGGCCCGTCCCGCGGCCGCCCCCGCGGGCACCCCGGTGGTGCGGGGGGCCGCTCCCGGCGTCCCGCGGCCGGTGGCGCCCAAGGGGCCGCCCGCGGCCACCCTCCAGTTGCCGGCCAACTTGCAGCTGCCCCCAGGTGAGTGATCCCTCCCGGGCTGCCCCAGCTGCGGGCACGTCCCGTATCGCGACTTAGCCGGCTTGTCGCGGTCGTCGCTGGCGAGGGACCGGTGGGCAGGACGGAGCCCGGCGCGCTGCCCTTGCTGCTGGAGACGAGCCGTGGCGAAGGACGGGCAGGGCGGCGGGGGTGGCGGTGATGTAGTGGCCGTGTGTGTTTCGGGCTGCTTGTCTGCCCCAAACTCCTGGGAACCGGCGTGTGCGTCTACCGTGCGGGGCATGGGCAGTGTGCCTGGGCTCAGTCGGGTAGCAGCGCTGGGGATGCTTACAGCCTGTCTGCAGGATGGATCTGGAAGTCTCTGGATAAATGCAACTTCTTACTTTGCTGGATAGCACGAAGAGCAGGAGAAGTAACCAAAAATTCAGCGGCCAAGTCACACTCTTATGTGTGACTTGGAAAAGACTGCTCGAGGCTTTAGTGGAACTTGGATGAAGGAGTATCTCGGGGAGGGGGTGTGAGCGTGGGTTGGAGGCTGCAGAGCGGCTCCGTAAGTTACCGAGCGGGTCCGGCTGCCCGCACTCGCCTCCGACCGGGCGGTCCCGCGGGAATTCTTGTCACCGGCACAACCAGGCCGATGCGACTGCTCATGGAACAAAATACTGCCGTGCCTAAGGAGGACAGAGTTGAAAGTTCATTACGTGTTGCTCCTTGAAACCCTCTTTTTCTGTAAACCCTCTGTGGGAAACATAAAGGTTTGGAGAGATGTTGCTCTTACAGATGTGTTTCCTATAGCAGCAGTGAAAATATTAGCGTAGGAGTTGCACAGTGCTGATACAGACATCTTAATACCTTGGATAGCAACAGAGGATTGCCAGGGCTTCCACCTGCACTTTCTCTTAAGGGGGAGAACGTGCTGTTGGTTCTGATCTTCTCATTTCTCCCTGTTGGGCTGTATCTAAGTGCTTTAAAAAATAAAAATAAAAAAAAAAAGTTTCTTTGCTTCCACTGGTTTTGGTCTTGCTCTGCTGAGACCCCAAGATATGTAATGACTTCATTGCTATTTGATGCTATAATTATTTCCTGCCAGGACAGTTCTGTTGTTGGAGCATCTGTTGCAATTACTTTCAGGTTGCATATTGCTGAAAAGGATGACTGGCTTTACAGTAATTCCTGTGCTGGTAGTGCATATTTGCTTTTTTTTTTCCTCTCCTCATTTTTTTAAATCCTAATGTCTTTATCAAAGACATGCACCTCCCAAAGAGATATATAATGCTAATTTAAAAAAATTAGTCTTTAGTCAGCCAGTTTCACTGTAGATTTCCCAGCACTCATGATGCTGTAATGTCTGGGTAGTCAGCAGTCAAGGATGAGTTTAAATCCTTGCCAACTTTCCTCTGAAATGAACTATAATGGAAATATATTAACTTCTTGTAGCAGGGCTTCCCAGGTTTACAAGTTTTGTATCTAATACTTTGGCTTTCTGGAATGTATTGACATTCACTTAAACGCACCTTTCTGTGAAGGGGAAGATCATGTTGAGTTGCCTGTGGTTTGGGAACTACATGTTATTAAAACGTACAGGTTTTTTGTAGTGGCTTAAGTTTGACTGCATCCAGGTATACTGTTGAATGTCATCTGACTTGTGTTGTGGTAGGAAGCAGATGTCACGAAAGTGGTATTACCCCTCAGTTGCATCAGCTTGTTTTCCTTACTCCTGGGACAATGCAGTCTTTGTATCAGAAGTTCAGAGGTGCTGGTACTCTGTAGCATTGTAAATAAAAATAACTATATGGACTTCAGTGCTTCAGAAGAAACTAGATGTTGTCAGATTTCAAATGGATCAATGTTTCAGGGGAACTTGTCTATGTAATTGTTGCAAGGTTATATAAAAATTCTGTCTTGAAAAAGTGTTAGTATTTTACCTCTGTCTTCTAGGTGGATTCAATTTTTAATTAATAATAAAAAATGCAAGATGGATAGCATTAAAGCTACAACAGTTAGCAGCATTAAGAAAAAGAAATGGAATAAACCACCAAATTCCTAGGCTTGAAAAGTTTTTTATTTCAAATAAACTGCCAAATCTAGGCATACAGGATAAAATACAGAAGGGAGGATGCTCTTAGGTTTAAAATTATGGCATTCACCTTTTTGTGGCACCTGTTAAGAAAAATGCCTACAGAAAACATCCTTCCCTTGAGTTTCAGAGGGAAGTATTTGAGTGGCTTGTTCTGGACAGCACTGCCCTGACTGGTCATGCTGAGTTTCTGATGAACTGCTTGTGACCCAGAGTGGGCATTGCTTCCACAGCACTGCAGTCTGGGGAAGGAAGGGCACCAGTGGAGCTGTGTTTGCCTCTGTGACCTGGAGGGCAGTGGAGGTTCATGGAAATCAGGAATTTATGCTGCTCCTTCTCTTCCATCTCTACCTCCCCCTTCCTCTTGCTCAGAATAAAGCCAGGAGTTGGGAAAAGCAGATGACTAGCAAATGACTGACTCCTCATGCCCCTGAGCAGAGATTGCCCAAATGCCAAGTGCCTCTTTTCATCTGATTGCCCAGGAAAGGCCACTGAGCTTTACAAGTTATCTTGGTCCTGAAAGACTCGGGCCTGCTGATGAGTAACAAGGGTTTTTCATCACCTTCCTATGATTTCCTCTACAAAGTGCTGGTTTTCAGTAGAGCAGCCAGCTCTCAGAGCAGTGCTGCAGATACCCAAGGCCATCCCTGGTTGACCACCACTGGAGGCTTTAGCACACAACAGGTCTCCAGCTGGTCTGACTTCAGGGGTGGCTTTGGTCTTATCATGCATTCTATCAGCTCTTGGATTCAGTGGCTGGGCTATGTCCTCCCAAATAAAGGGAATTTGATCTACCAAAGGGACCTTTCCTCAGTTGCCCTCTTTGCTGACAGGAGCAGGAAGGCTAGCAGCATTTCAGAAGGCTTTGCACGTCGCAGTCTGGGTCTGCAGAGAGCAGAGCAGCGTGGTGAGCGCCGTGCTGCCTCAGTCCTGAGCTACATGTGGCCTGTGCTGATGCTACAAACCTGCAAAAGTCTCATGTCATGGACCATCTGCTTAACAAGAAATTGTGTCCTTGGTTAACCTGAGCTTAATGAGGGGGAGAAATGGATGGGCTGTGCTATTAGACAGGAGGAAATAATTGGGAAGGGGAAGGAGAGACAAGGGCCGTGACAAATGTCTATAGTTCACCGTAGTGTCTTTGGGCCTCACACTGCTTTGAAGAAATGGAGGGTAGAAAAAGAGCATAAAAACAACAAAAAGAATGTCGTTTCTCAGTTTTGTTTACTTTTCTTGAATTTAGGTTTTTGTCACTTCTGTGTCTGTACTTTCAGTCTATCCCTGGACCTGGAATGCTCATTACAAGCAAGTGTTCAAAGGACAATTAGTAGATAAATCTGCTTTTCTGCTGATGCCATGAAAAAGGACAGAACTGAACCAGATGCCAGGATCCTCCATTGTTACCTTCAGTTTGCTTAGAGCAGGAGAATTCTTTGAAAACCTCGTCTCATGCCACACGGGGCTGTGGCAGCAGCTGCCATCACTTTCCACTGTAGCATTGGCTGCCTCTGGTGTGTGCATTTCTGTTTTATGCTTTCCATTACTGCTAACACCAGTGGGCCTGAGCAAGCACGGTGTCAGCAAAGAAAAGGTGCCCTGAGTGTGCTGTAATTTCACTAGCAGTGTGGTGCAAGGCATCGTCTCCGTGTAAGGTTTCCTTTGCACCTGACTTAGAGAGGAACAGCAGCAAGTTCAGCTTCTTGGTTTCTGTTTGCAGCTCAGTTGTCTTTGCTTGGATGTTTTGCCTCGTCTGTTGCAGGTTTTCCACTGCCTGCAGCTTATCTAGGCTGATAGTGGGTAACTTCAGAAAGCACAGCCACTGTTGTGTCAGGTGGCTGGGCTGCATGGCGTGGAGCGGGCAGGCAGCGTGTGCACTCCTGTGGGTGGGAAGGAGACCCAGCATGGGTATTCCAAAACTGCAGTGGGGTGGTATGGAGCCTGGTCTTGTTGAGTTTCTCTTAATTGTCTGTAGAACCTAAGGTAGGTAACCTGAAGAGGTAAGGGCTGATAAACATAGGGATGCTGCTGCCTTCTGCTTTCTCCCTCGTCATGTTCTAGTTGTTGTTGTTTTTCAGTGGTAAAACCACGAGGAATTAGATTATATGAATATTTGGTGATATTTGTATCTGGTCCCTTGCTTTAGAATAGGGGAAATTACTGATTTTAAAATACTTCTTGATTTATATTATGTTTGAGTAGATGTAGGCTACCTAAAGATTTCTTGTTTCAACAGGCAGAAAACCGTAGAAATTCCTTTAAAGTATGCAGTTCCTGGATGTTGGTAATCCCATGAAGTCTGAGCATACTATTTGTGCTTAGACCAGCAGGGGCTAAATAATCCATGCTTGTAACTTTTTGTATGCCAATAACATCTTCTGTTTAGCAGGCCTCTGGGGATGGATTCTCTGCAGACTTCTCTCTTCATGTTAGGTGACACTGATCAACTTTCTTTTTCCTGAGGAAGGGTGAGCAAAGCTTTCATGGGTTTGAAGAACTAAGTCAAACTTAGATAATAGCAAGGAAATGTGCTGTAACTAGTTGAAATTTCAGCTGCACTGTAGGACTTGATTTTGCTTTCAGGACTGAGTATGTCTAGCAAAATAATGCCTTCATATGATTAAATGCACAGCCATGTGGGAATTAAGATTTAAATCTTGGCAGAAAATGCAAAGCTAATGTCTAGATTTATGGTTTTCCAACACGCAGAAAAAAAATAGATGCATTCTGAATACTGAAGCATGGAAATATGACACTCAGTAAAATTAATGTTTAATGCTGTTCAGATTTTACCATTGATTGGAGTGTATTGTAAAGAATTACAGCTACAGTTTGGTGAACAGTAAACTTTTTTTTAAATCCTTAGAAGAGAGAGAACATGAGCATGACTTGTGTTACTTTTGCAGTATTTAAAGGCCCTTTCAGCTTGTAGCAGTAAAAATAGCATCAC